TTGCAGTAATATATTACTTTTTACTTCAAAGAGGAAACATTTAACAGTGCAGTAAGATACAGCCCCCAGGTCATACTAGCCTTTCCATGCAAGTGACAAGGTAACATTCACAGTAGCACTCAGTTTAGTAAAAGGAAAAAGTTAAACATATCCCTATTCTTGTAGGCAGATTCTCCCCATGGACCAAAAAGTTTCCATGATATCATTCTGGTCCTCTTCTTGGTTTCCCATCACACACGGACTTGCCTCTCTACACCCCCTCCCTCCATAAATAACTGTGTGTCTCCCTACGGCTTGGTACTCCATGTGTCCCTTGGCTGCCATTCCTGTCCTATATATTGGGGCAAGTCTGCCTCCAGCCCTAAACAGGAGCTCATTGAGCACAGGGCCCCTGCTTGGTCATCACAGAAGGGAGCAGATACAAGACTGAACAATTCCATCATGAATGAGCGATACAGACAGAAGCCTAAATATTCACATCTCTCCAGCTCTCTAGTTTACAAACCACTTCCACAGGCTTTATCTCCTCCTGACTATACAGGTTCAGACAGGAAGGCATTAAGCGAATCCCTAAATCCACGCAGATAGTAAAACAGATGGCAGTCATCATTTCATTTTCTACCACAGTGACTTCTACAGCATTTAAAAGATGCATCCTAGCCCCCTTCTCCCCCAAATCCCTCAATACCAGATCTCACATTTCTTCTGATTGCTGGGAATACAAAAGAAATAGCAATTCACTTAAATGATGTCCTATTCACGTTTCCCTTACTGAAGTATAAAGCTCTCCACAAGAAGGGACCTTCTCAAATGTATCTCCGCCTCCTCCCCTGGGGCCTGTAGTATTGACTCAGACATGACATAGGTCCAATAAATATCAATCACTCAACAAAATCTAGCCCTGTAACATCCGATGGGAGCAAGACACTGTGTGTGACACACTTCAGCCCACATGTTCACCACCCAGGTGTAAGCAGAAAGGACAAGGACATTCAAGTGGCTCCTAGGTTCAGCCACAGATCAGGATCAGCCCCCTAGTCAGCTTCTCATTGTCCTGCAGGTCCTCCTCTCCCCAGGCCCCACGTGGAGTAGCCCTCACCAAGGTTTGCAAGCGAGAGCAAGGGGAGGATGGACGGCCCCTGGAGGCTGAAAGTGGGCTTGCAGCCAGCGGTTCACACTGGAGGTGGGAGGATCAAGATGCGGAGAGATCTGAAAGATACTGAGGAGGGCATCCCAGCAGCCTTGGTAACTGGTCTGGGCTAGAACCCTGAGAAAAGAGTATTGAAGATGAATCTCTTTTCCCCTCTCCCCCAGGCAAAAGGAGTTTGCAAAATCCTAGGAGATAACAGGAGGCTAAACTCAAAGATCAGGTGCACAGACAGGGAAGAGATGCTGTGTGTGACACCAGTGTTTGGTTCACTTTTTTCTCTTCTGTCTCTGGGCTTAACACTGACACAAGGAAATCAAAATTCCCTTTCAAACAAACAGTGCTCCAACACCTGAGCTATATCCTCAGCCCCTTTTTTTCTTTCTATTTTGAGACAAGGTCTTGATAAGTTGCCCACACTGGCCTCCAACTTTGCAATCCTCCTGCCTCAGCCTCCTGAGTAGCTGGGATCACAGGCATGCCCCATTGTGCACAGCCACTACAACTTGTCAGTGTGTATGAGAAAAGGAGGGTTAGGTGTGCTCAACTCCTTATGACTGACCTAACATTCTCTCAGTGGCAAGAGCTTCAACCCATTCCTTATGAACTTGGGAGGAGACACCTGCAGCTTCCACCAGGTCCTTGAGCCTGTGCCCAAGTTCTGCCCATCCACCAAGTTCAGTATCCTGACAACTACTTTGTGCTATATCTAAGAGGCAAGCTCCTCCACTTTGCTGGCCCATCTTTGTGACAGTCTTTAGCCTACATGCCAGTTAAGTCTGCATCACTGACACTGTCCTGATCACTAAAATGGCTCAAACCAGGGGAACAGAGAAACCCTATTCAGTCCATAGTATCCAGCTATAATTGTCAAATGTTGCTGCTGCTATTCACAATTCCATATTAGCCAAAATCTGCCTGTCATAATCTCTTTATACTAAGGGCTCCTTAAACCCCAGAGTCCAGATCTTGCAGAGTGTTCTGAAATACCCTGTGCCCCATCCCACACACAGGGGGATGACTAAGTTAAACATTTTCCTTTGTCTACTTTCCAAAGCCCCAGTTCTCAAAGTCATCATGAAGACAGCAATGTGACAATACTGAAACCTATGGGGCTTGGCAGACATATAAATATGGCTTGTGGTTTTCTATCCATGACCAAGATGGCAGCAGCTGTTGCCAGGGAGATGAGGTGATCCCAGTGACTTGGGCAAAAAATCCAGGGATGGGGCCAATGAGGTGGCTCACGTCTGTAATTCTGGCAGCTCAGGAGGCTGAGACAGGAGGACTGTGAGTTCTGCCTCAGCAATGGTGAGGCACTTAGCAATTCAGTGAGACCCTGTCTCTAAATAAAATACAAAACAAGGCTGGGGATGTGGCTCAGTGGTCAAGTGGTCCTGAGTTCAATCCCCAGTACCAAAAAAAAAAAAAAAAATCCAGGGATGAAAATTTATTTTGTCTGGATCTACCCAAGTACTAGGGTTTCTCTGAAAAGATTTTATACACACAAACACACACACACACACACACACACAACACTTAGGTCTGAGGGATATGGCTCAGTGGCAGGGCTCTTGTCTATTTTATGCAAGGCCCTGGGTTCCCAGCACTGCAAATTAAAACAATAACAAACAAAAAACAAACAAAAAAAAAACTCCTTTAGCATTAAGTCCTCTCCAGGTAGGGAGAAGATGCCCCAGTCCTAAGTCAGGAGAAGGCCAAGGGGCAGGCGGGCTGGAATTCTCAGAAACCTTCCAAGAGTTCACAGGCCTCAGGCTATGCAAGAGAGAAAGGCAGGCCACAGCAACCCCCCACCCCCAGCAGGAGGCAAACTTTTACCCCGGCAAGGTGTCTCTCCAAGCTGTCATCAGCCCAGTGGCTAAAGTATCACCTTCCCAGCAGAGACACCACCTACTCCAGGCCTAGGGTGCTTAAGCACTCAGCAGGGAATGCTGCTCAGAATGTCAAAAGTCTAGAGCAGCCTGGGGTCCCAAGGAGCACCTCGGGTCAGAATGCCACGTCTGCCAGGCCCAGCCTTCCCACCTCTCTCCTCCAAAGTTCTCTCTACTTTAAAAACAAGATCGTCTTCGCCTGCATTATCTATTTTCCGGAGCTCAGTTTTTTTCTTTCGGCCTTTCTTCGAGGACCTCATAAAACCATGTGAAAGCGCTTTGTAAATTGTGAAACCCTTTCCACAGCTGTGTGTTTTATAATTGATACCACTTTTCCTCTGTTTCAATGCATGAAGAATTTGTCCTCAATGCACGCAGGCAGATTAGGAGTAGGCAGCTTTTACAGACCCCCTCCTCAGATGGAGAGGTATCAACCCACACATCCAACCTCCCCAGCCCCACCAAAAGAATAAAGAATTAAGAACCAGACCTGGGACCAAAACCCAGATTTCTCTGACCATCACATCACCTCCTCTGAAGTCAATTCTGGCTCCTGATCACTCGCCCAGGGCGCACTCCCCAGACAGCACACCGCCTTCTCTCCCCCCTTTATTGACTGGATCCACCCAGTTTTTAAAAAAAAAAAACAAACTATTTTTTAAGTCAGCATTCCCACCATATGTGGCATTTATTTCCAGGGAAGGCCAGCCCTGGGTTCCCATGGACAGATGTTGCTTTGTGCCTGCCTGAAACGGCTGGCAGCTTTTGCACAGCTGCCCCAAGCAGGTGGCCAAGGATGGAGTTTACCCCTGGCCCAGAAGAGAGAAGGACAATCCCTGCCAAACTCAGGCCTGAGGAGTCCTCTATTCATCCTTCTGCAGCCCGGGACCCCCAAGAAACCCACCCCCACCCAACCGCACATTCTCTCTCCCCACCTTGGTTCAGAATCAGACTTCAGGGGGACTGAGAGGCAGGAGCAGGAGACCAAGGTACCCTGGCCCCCGATGCCCTGCCAGGCACAGCTAAGCTCAGGAAGGCCCTGAGAGTGGAGAGAAGTCACTGACCCCTTCTATCAGCCATCTGTGAGCTCCAGCTCGATCTAGGTAGCGCGATGGAAGCATAAAGGAGGTCCGGACAGATGGCAAAGCGCTTTAGGAAGGAAGGCTGTACAGGAATGCGAGGGCCCAAGCGAGGCCCGCACTGGGGCATGTTTTGTTATCAGTGGGACGCTAACCTCTTCTATCGATATGCAATCTCAGACTAAAAAGAAGGCAAAAAGTCAGAAGTGGGGTGGGAAGTGGGGGAGAAGACCCTATTTTCTGCCACTTGTCTTTCCCACTTGAAAGTCAGAGCTCTGTGCTGTAACTAAAGTGCGTGCATGCACAGGGGGCGGGAGACTGGCACAACCGAGTCTAAAAATACTCGATAAAAATGCTAATCCCGAAGGCAAAGAAAGAACGAAGAAGGAATCTGTCAATCACCAGGCTCCCGCTCCTCACCCACAGCCCCAGCTGTACCGACTGCATTCCTGTAGAGGAAAGAAGTGGGGGGACAGCACTGAAGAAAAGAAAGGGAGAGACACCACCACCTCCACGAGCGCGGGCCGCCGCGGGGCGGGAGGCGGCGGCGGAGGAGGGGCTCGGCCCGCGGAGCCTAACAAAGCGGGCCTCAACTTGGAGCCCGCAGCTCCAGGAATGGGGGACCAATCCCAGAAGCACCCCCTTTTCCGGAGGTGGAAAACGAATGTGAAGTCTGGAAATCAAAGTGCCGCGTGGAAGCCCCAGGCTCCGAATCTTGGCAAATCCAGAGAAGGTTTTGTTTGGGGTCTCTCCGCTCTCTCCTTGGCCGCACTCACAAGCCCCCCCTTATACACATACACACACGCACTCCTTCTCTTTCTAGCTCAGCCGGGCCGGCCCCGCCGGGCCGGCGCTTCCCCCTGGTCCTCCAGGGGCCCCCACCTGGGGATGGTGATGCACTTGGTGTTGACGTTCTGCGTGGTGATGGCCTTCTCCAGTTCATCCAGCTGCCCCGTCTTCTTAAGCTTCTTGACCAAGCTCTTGACCGCCTTCTCGCACCACTTCTCCTCCTGCCCGTTCTGCTCGCCTTTCTTCCAGCCCAGCAGGCGCTTCACGATCGGCGGGGTGAAGGGCAGGATGGACGACATGGTTGGGGAGGGAACGCAGGCGGAGAGGGGCGCCCCCGGCGGGGCTGAGAGCGGCGGGACGCCGGGGGCGCGGAGCCCGGGCCGGCCGCGCAGCCCAAACTTCGCCTCAACTCTCGGCGAACTTGCCGGTGCGCTGGGCCGGGCCGCGGCGTTGCAGCCTGCGGGTCTCGGCGCGCGGCCCTGTGCCTGAGCGGCTCCCGCGACAAGGAGAAGAGCTGCGCGGGGCGGACGGGCCGGCGGACGGCAGCGGCGCGGGATCGAGAAGGCCCCAATCGCGGGGCGGAGGCGGCGGCCGCGAGGCTCGGAGTGGCAGCAGAAAGTTTGGGTTTCCGCACGGAGTGGCTGTTTGGGTGCCACCTCCGGGAAAGAAAGTCCAGCCCCCAGCCAAACTTTGCTCGCCTTGCTCGCTTTGATGCGCAGATCCCTCCGCCTCTGCGGCCTCGCCTCCCCGCTGCCCTCCTCCTCCTCCTCCTCCTGCCGGCTCGCTCGCTCGCTGGGCAGGTCCCGGGCGTGCGCCGCGCTCCCGCTCCCGCTCCCGCTCCCGCCCGCTCCCAGTCTATGTTTCATGCAAATCCGCGTGCAGCCTCCTTTCCAAGCGCTGTCACCGCCCCCTCGCCGCCGGGGCTCCCCGCCTCCTCCCCCGCGCCCCGCCGCCTCCTCCCCCGGGCGCCCTGCCGGCCCCCAGCTCCGGGGAGGACACCCGCCTGCCTCCGCCCTGCGCCCAACACGCCCACGTGGGCGACCCGGCACTGCTGAGGCCCCGGCCCGAAGCCGTGCGGGCGTGGAGAGGAAGTTCTGGGAGTGGGGTGGCGAGAGGGGCCCCTGGCGGGCAAGCAGAGCTCGGGCCTCGCGTCCGCTCTGGGATCCCAGGCTGAAGAAGCTCCGTCGCAGTTGCGGGCCAGAGAGGGTTAGACTCGGCTGGCGGTGGTGCCCCCAGAAGATCCGGACCCAAGACGCGGCGCACGCGGAAGGTTGGAGGCCCTGGAAGTCGGGGCGCGCTGATCCCGGTCTGGGGCCTTGGCTGGCGCCAACGACCTGGGGGCTGTTTTTATTTTCTCAGCGATGAGATCACTCCGACTGACAGCCCCGAAGCTGTGTGCGGAGGAGGGAGTTGGAAGGGGGAAAAGTAGACTTTTAAAAGTGGAGTATTGGGTACCCCAGTGACAATCTGAACAATAGCTGGAGCCAGGGGTCTCTTGGGCCCTGTGAGCCAAGCACTTGTTAGAAAATGGGCCTCGGAGACATCCCTTGAGTTCAGGAAGAAATGAAGGGGGGGGAAGATTTAGAATTTATTTGGGGGAAAATTTAAGGGGTATTAGAAAAACTCTGATACAGAAAGATCCGAAATTCGATACCAAATAACTAGGAAAGGGAACTTTGTTTCCAAACCAATGAACAAAAAAGTGGGGGGCAGAGAATACTACTTGGAAGTTGATGTGTTTTTAAGTTAGCTTAGGTGGGAAGCCCGGAAACCGTGGCACGTTGGAGAGCTGTGGGGCTTTTCTCCCACCAGCAGAATTCAGGGGCCTCTGCCCACAGGCCCCCCAGCGCCTTCCTCCTACCGCCTCCCCTATCAGGCAGCCGGCGGCTTAGGCTTTTGTTTGTTTTTAACAGCAGGAAACCCCCCATGGTGAGAAAGAAGTTATCTCCAAACCCTGGTGCCGGTGGGGAGTTACAAAGCCCTGTGAGGTGTGGCCGGATCCACAAAGTCAGCTCAGAAGCTGCAGGGGACTTGCCCTTTCACAGAGGATGGCCTCCCACTAGCTGTCAGGGGCGGCCGCTTCTCTTTCCCCTCTGAACTCCCTGCTTGCTGGGACCTGAAAGGAGAAATCTTAAGCCTCATCGAAGCTGGTTCCAGCGCTGCTGATCCTATTTGTTGGTGGCAGCTGTAGTCTTGCGTTTTGCTGTCCTATTCCCAGCCCTTAGGAAGAGAGATCAGGATAGAAGGCAGTTGACATTTATTAATTGCCGTCTTCATTCCAGATAACCCAAGTGCTGCCCTCTGAAGTAATCTGCACAGTAGTCCCTGAAGTAGATGTCCTTATTCTTCACATCTATGAATGAGGCACCTGAGACACGGAGAGATTTCTGGACTTCTGGGGATCCCACATGGCAGAGCTGGGGCTTAAGCTCAGGACTTTGTGAGGCCTTATTCCGAAATTGCCATTGCACCCAGCTGCCTCATAGAGCAAGGCAGAGGTGACTTTGTTAAGAGAGCTCTTTGCAAAACAAAAGTTCTTTATCCAGGCACACTATTGTGAGAGCTTAAGAAATGTTTGCTTGTGGTGACATGGGCTACAAATAGCTTTCCTCACAGTCTCCTAGGTCTGCTGTGGGACCCTAATGTGAAAGCCTCACTGAAAGAGAACCAGCAGCTGTGGAGTAGTAGACCACACCTTGGGACCCAGGAGTGGTGTGGTGCAGGGAGCCGAGTTCAGGCTAAGGCATCTATGGAGCATCTCAATGCAGCCCTCCTGCTCAGGTCTGGGAACTCTGAAAGATACCAGGGGACCTAGGGAAGCACCAAGGAGTGGGGTCAGGGTGTGCCTGAGTGGGCAGAGGATACAGAGGGACCCTTGCAGTCATCATCTTGCAGACAATGGTTAATTTTAACCCAAACCTCAAATCCAGCAAGGCCAGCCCTTGAGAGTCAGCCAGAATACAAGTTCAGGCTCCATCACCAACTAATGTGGCTTTGGATCCTGGCTCTTTTCCTCCTTCACTTTGCTGAGCATGTGTTCTCTCAGCTGTAAGAATGGAACTAAGGATTCTTATGGTGCATAGTGGTGAATTCAGAAAGAGAATCATACGCATCCTGCTCCAGTACAACCCCTCATCTTACACAAAAGAGAGCCAGTTTGCACTAGGGAGGGAAGCAGCCCAAGAGAGATTCAAGGATTAAATGGAGTGGAAGGGCCTGATGTGTACCTCACCTTCTAAACTCATGGCATTGGAAGGGACCTTGTTCAAGCCCCTCATTTTCCTGAGGGGAGGAAAAAACTAGTCAGCCAACTAGTTAGTGTGACTGAACCATGCATGCTTTCCCACATTTCCTTTCCAAGGCAGCATTGTTGTGACAGGGTCTGCTGGGTGTGCAGAAAAATAAAAAGCTGGACCCACATGGGAATCTGATGGTGCTGTCTCTGGGCTAGTTCTTTCTCCTCCAGTGAGAAAAGTTGAATAAGCCCAGTGTCACAAAACCCCCTAGGAAGAGTGAGAAGTTACTTTTTCTCAGTTCCAAGAGACCCTTACATGCCCTCCCCAGTTTGGGTGATAATGGGTAAGTGGCTACTGATGGATGCAACTCTGTTCTGGCGCCTGGTTTCCTGGGGCCCAGCCAGTCCTGCTTTGCAGAGGTTGTCCTTGTCCTTGGAAGGGAAACATTAGCCCAGTTAATTTTTCATCATGGTAAGTGCAAAGTTCAGGAGAGGTGGGATGGGGGTGGAGGCACAGCTCTGTCTCCCTGGGAATAGTCAGCCCTATCAGGAGCCTCCAGACAGACATGCCAAAGCATGTTTGGAGCAGCTCCCAGGTGGAACCCTGGAGAGAAACGAACACCTGACTTGGGTTATGTTTTTTTCCCATTAGCCAAAGGGTGTTTAATCAGCAAGTGGTGAGTCTAGAAAGAACATTGGGATCATTCTGTCTTCATTTTACAGAGACAGAAAGGGATATCTGAGGAAGGGAGGTGAGCAGGTTGGAACTAGAACTCTCCTGAGCGTGTCCTCACCCAGAAGAGGGCCTCTACCTACAGCCAGGTCTCTGTAGCTCTTTATAGCACCTTACCCAGTGGGCTCTCCTGGTACCAGACAACCTGGGTTAAACTTCCATCTTCACCACTTCCAGCTGTGTAACTTAACTCTTATGTGTCAGTTTCCTCGACCATATAATGGGAATGGTAATAAAATTGCTTCTTAGATTATGCGTGGAATCAAATTAAATTGGCTGTGTCAAGAGCACATAGTAGGTTCTCAACATACATGGATATGGCTGATGCATAGGATAGAGCATCATACAAGAACTAGAAGTTTCATGTACATAAGACAAATGAATGATTCCTAAAAACAGTTTGGAGGGAAAATAGCCACAGTGAAATGAATAGCGTAATGCCACCTGGGTAAAACATCACATACAGGCCTGGGGCTGTGGCTTAGTAGTAGAGCACTTGCCTAGCACATGTGAGGCACTGGGTTCAATCCTCAGCACCACATAAAAAAAATAAATGAATCAATAAAATAAAGGTATGGTGTCTATAACTAAAAAAAAATCATGTGCAAAACAACAATGCATATTTTGAAAGAAGTCATACAAACAAAAAGTAAACACACATTGAGATGGCTATTTTTAAAAAATAAAATAACAATTGTTGTAGAAGATGTAAGGAAATTGGAACTCTTACTCATTGCTGGTAGGAATGTAAAATAGTGCTTGCCTCTGTGTATGGTACTTCCTCAAAAAATTCGTTAGGATCACTATATGATCCCTCTATGATCCAGCAACGTGTGGGTATATACATAAAAGAAGTGAAAGCAGGTGCTCAAAGGTATCTGTGCATGCCATGTTCAGAGCAGCATAGTTCACAATAGCCTCAGGTGGAAACAACAATAGCCACAGGTTGAAATGCATTAAGAAAAATGTTTCTGCAACCAATGAAATATGTGGTGTATACATACAACAAGATTCCGATTAGTGCTACGACATGGATAAACCTTGAAAACATTATGCTAAAAGAAATAAGCCAGTCACAAAAAGATTTAAAAGTCACTTACAGACGTACCTAGAATAGTACCCAGGGGAGCTTAACCAGTGAGCTTCATCCCCAGCCATTTTTGTATTCTATTTAGAAACAGGGCCTCACTAAGCTGTTTAGGGCCTTGCTGAATTGCTGAGACTGGCTTTGAACTTGCAATCCTCCTGCCTCAGCTTCCCAAGCCACTGGGAATACAGGCGTATGCCATTGCACCCAGCCAAGAGTAGTCAGATTCTTAGAGACAGTGTAGATGGAAGTCTGAGGGGTCTGAGGGGAAGGGGAATGCGGAGTTGTGGTTGAATGGATGTGGAATTTCAGTTGGGGAATGTGAAAAAGTTCTGGGGGTGGATAGTGGGAATTCTCAAAAAACAATGTGATTGTATTTACTGCCACAGGACTGTACACTTAAAATGATAAACTTTATACACTTTTGCCTCAGTAAAAATCAATAGGAATAAAAAGATCCATGAACACAGTAGAACAGGTATGCAAGGGTGGGTATCTGGGAATAAGGGATGAGGCCAAAGAGGGAAAAATAAATGAGTGAATTCAGGGCTCTATAATGATTGACACCCTCGGCTCCCGAGCTGCACATTTCAAAGTGCTCTGTATATGTTAGTAAATATGCTAATTTTCTGTGGTATGCTCAAATGTCAATACCTGTGGCTTCCAGACTAATCTAGTTGAGGATCATGACTTTTCACCTTTGGAGAAATTATTTAAAATGTTTGTCTCACAGTATCCCTAAGAGAGTGCAGGATCAGGCGTCATCCCCTCTGACAGCTTAGGGAGCAGAGGGCAGCAGACTGACGCCATTTGTGGGTTTGCCTGTGCCAGGCTCAGGGCCTGGGACTTGAAGGATGTGGTCATATTTAAAGTTCTCACAGCCTCTGCAAGATGATTGTTATTGCTGTTTCAGGAAGGAGGGACCAGGAAAGCAGGGAGTTGAGCTGCTGTTGACCCAAACTGGACTAACCCTGGACTGCTGATCCCTGACTACCAGCCCAACCTGGGGTTTTCTGTCCCCAAAGCTCTTGGCATGGTGTCCAATGATGATTGCAGAACATGCCTGGAAGATCAAGGCTCTGCAAGAAGGAGCTGGGGATAGATGCTATCCAAGGAAGGCACTTAGAGGGACCAGGTCTGATTCAGGGAGGCATTAAGCAGAGATTAGACGTGGGGCGGTGGCTGCCGTGGGAGGACAGTCCAGGCCCATGGGAGTCCAGGGCAGAGTGCATGGAGCTATCTTGAGTTCACTTGCAGGAACTCCTTCCTGGCCTTTGAAAACTGCATGTCTAGGAGTCAGGGGCCAGGAGAGGATCTTAGTACTATGGGGTTGTATGTGTATGCTTTAAATTTTACTATTTATGTCCAGGTGTGTTGATCACTCTCTTCATACATACAGGTGATGTTGAGATTCTGGTGTGTGCGTGTTAGTGGTCTCCATCTGCCCACGCATTTCAGGCCCTTCTAATTCAAATCTCATTCTTTCAGAGTTCAGTCCTAGTTGTTTAAGTGAAATAGGTACATGTCTGAGTTTTCTCCCCACATTCATGTGTCTTTGTTTTTGCATACATTTTGTATGTATCTAGATATTTATAGAGGTCATTATGTTTTCCCTTTCCTGTTTTCTAGGACAGTAAGAGTCACAAACATTACTTGGCTCTGTCTGAGCACCTCCCTCAGTTCATGGTTCAGTGTGCAGGGTGGACCTAAAAAATAGCAGTTGGAAAATTGTTCTTTCATTATCATTTGTTTTTAAAAACACATGTGTATGAACAGCCATCAAAGACGATGCCCTGAAATGAACTATGGTTCTATAAAAGTGGTGAGATTGTATACCTTTGTTATTTTTAATGTTGGCATGTTGTTTTTACTTAAAAAAAAAAAAAAGCAGTAGAGGTAAATCCCAAAGGAATTTAAAGCAGGAACTTGGACAGATATTTATACACCCATGTGCATAGCAGTGTTATTCACAGTAGCCAAAAAGTGGAAACAACCCAAGTGTCCATCAACAGGTAGATGGATAAGCAACTGCAGTGTATGAACACAAAAGAATATTATTTGACCTTGATAAAAAAGAGGTCGCTTCTAAAATGTGCTAAAACCTGAATGCACCTAGAGAACTTTATAAGTTAAATAAGCCACTCACAAAAGGACAAATATTGCATGATCCTACTTATATGAGATACTTTAGTCAGATTCATAGAGACAGAAAAAAGAATAATGGATTCCCAGAGCTGGGGGAGGGGAAATGGGAGTTAGTGTTTAAAGTGTACAGAGCTGTAGCTCATCGGTGGAGCGCTTGCCTAGTGCGTGTGAGGCACTGGGTTTGATTCTCAGCACTGCACAAAAATAGATAAATGAAATAAAAGTATTCTGTCCCTCTACAACTAAAAAAAATGTTTTAAGAAAGTGTACAGAGCTTCAACTTTAGAGGAGGAAGCGTTCTAGAAACGAATGGTGGTGGTCGGAGCAGAACTTATGAACGTATTTGATGCCACTGAACTGTACATTTAACAATGGCAGAGCTGGTAAATTTTGTCATGTGTACTTGGTCACACTTTTAAAAATAAATAAATAAATTCTAGAAACTGAAGTTTAGAGTGTACTGTCAAAAATGTTATCATTCAATAAAAATAGATTCTTCAATTGGTTTTTTTGGGGGTGCTGGAGATTGAACCCAGGGCCTCAGTCATGCTGGGAAAGTGCTCTACCACTGAGCTTGGCCCCAGAGAAAGAAAACAATGTGTAGGTGGAAGCGGAGTTGGGTCTATCCTGAGTGAGGAATGTGGCTCTGGAGAGTGTCTCTGGAGAGAATGAGACAATGGCTACCTGTGCTCTCTGGTCAGGTGTGAGCTTATTGTGTTGCTGGCCCCCAGGGGCCTGCTAATACTTCTCTGTAGTCAGGCACCAGGGTGTGACAGGAGAGAGTGAATCCTTGACCTCTTAAAATGACTTCCTGGTCTAGAATACCTCACCTCACAGACACTCCAGCAAGTGTGGCCCCTGGGAATCCTGCTGTGGGCTCCAACTCTGAGGGATTCAAATAAAAGTTAACAAGGCAGGCTGTCCCTCTCCCTGCCATTCAGCCTCACCAGAGGGGGGACACCTGCTTAAGGATAAATATGTTCAGTGGTTGTTGTAAAACAGATGTTTTCATTGTAGAGAAATGTTTTGAATTTTATGATGGCGTCGATAATCAAGCCTGTCTGCAATAGAAGAGGAACAAAGCGCTGGACACATGCTGTGGCACAGTGGCCTTTGGAAACATGGTGCTAAGTGAAAGAACAAGTAGCAAAAGACCTGGCACTGTAGGATTTCAGCTCCATGAAATGTCCACAACTGACCGACTCTAGAGATAGGCAGGTGGTAGCAGATGGCTGGGGCTGGGCTGGGCTGGTAGAGCAGCTCATGGATGCCGAGTTTCTCTCTGGAGTGATAGAAATGTTCTAAAATTGGCTGCAGTGACTACACAACCCTGTAAATATACAAAACACAATTGGGCATCGTTAAATGGGTGAATTACATGGAAGGTGCACTACATCTCGATAAGGATGTTTTCAAAAATAATAATACAGACTGGCACGAACAAAGCCCTTCCAAGGGTTCCAACCTGCTCACAGGGTTAGGTTAACTACATTCATTTTTACAACTACCTGTGGGCTGTGTTAGTGTCATCCCTTTTTAGCAGGGAGCACTGAGGCACACAAGGGGACATCAGTGAGTGGCCATGCTCTGACAGTCCAGGCAGTCTGCTAGACAGTCCTTGTTCCTAACCACAATGGAGACGAACAGCCACCACCACCACCTAGAAATAACCACACTGCAGTCCCCTGAGGTTTCATTGGCACATCATGAACATCTTTCTATGTTAATAAACATGCATTTGCAATGTGGTATTGAATGACTGTAGAGCATATTGTCACATGGATCTGTCATCATTTATTAAACCAGTTTCCTGTGACTGGACATACAGGTTACTTCTAGTTTTATTTGATATTACAAATGGTTCTGCTCTAAACATTTCTGGGCATCACATATGTGTACATCCCTGATTAGTTTCCTAGAATAAGTCCCTAGAAAGTGCATTGCTACTTTTGATGCCATTACGAGAGGGGCCCCTGAAAACCTATTGTACCAGCTTACCCTCACCACACCAGCTTAACAGA